CCAGCTGCTTCTCGGTGTAAATCATTCCCGGCCTTTCGAATACCTTGCCACACGGCCTGCCAATCACAGATCCATAAATGTTAATAAGGTGGAGCCCCACCTGCAGAATATGCCCATGTCTTTCCAGTTTCCTATAGCGACGTCAGATGAAGCTAAGCATGTCATGAGAAGATGAGTTCTAATTCCCCAGTTGATGGAACTAACAAACATTAGTACTTGTGTGAATAGGGAATGGCAATATATCACTTTCTTTACTTCTTTGTTGTTTAATGCTACATTCAGCAAAATTTCCGCTACATGACAGCGGTCTGTAAATATTCAAGTCGGTATCAGACAATCCAGTGATTGACATCATGAACTTCGATCCACGCAATTTTAATATGATGACATGCATCAACCAAGTCACCGAGCCTGACCACCCGAACTCATTAGTTGCCTCTTACGACAAGCACAGTCGCCTTTTACGGCAAAAATGGGTTGCTGAAGACCTATTCTAACCCGGATCTTCATGGGTATGCAATATATCAAACTGTTTTGGAGGGGCGTTTTAGGATAGATTTTTGATAGGTGTCTCATCAGTTTCACAGGAGATGGGCACATAATCACTATGTATTAAAACATGTGAAGATCCAGGGTAGAAAAGGTCTTTAGCAACCCATGCTTGCCTTAAAAGGTGACTGTGCTTGTCGAAAGAGGTGACTAACGGGTGGTCAGGCTCGCTGACTTGGTTGATGCATGTCATCGTATCCCAATTGCATGAACAATGCTCATGATGTCAATCACTGGATTGTCAGGTCCAGACTTGATTATTTACAGACCACCTTCATATAGCGGGGATATTGCTGAGTGCGGTGTTAAACAACAAACAAACAAACAAACACGATGTATTAAAGCTTTCTCCTTTCATAAAATTTTAATTTCTAAACACGTTATATCTACGACTCGTATTGTCATTGTCAGTAGATGCTGCATTATTTTGCTGTACAGATGCAGTAACATACATCAGATTGAAGTCCACCAATATTTATAGGGATGTTGTTAAACAATATTTCCTACATCGCCTCTAAGTTCTATGGGCCATGGCATTTGATAATAAATTCCCAACTGTGTCAGTAAGCTTCCTTTCAGCTATTTGCTTGAGCATGTTGAGTAGACACTGTTCTGTTTTGTGACGGTTATGCTATAGTACTTTGTCACCATTGTGCCAAGCCATACAAGAAATAACAAATTCACAAAACGCCTCGACTAGGGACCTTTTTCAGTGATGCACAAACATGTGCCAATATTCAACAGGAAGCGATATAATTGGCAGAGATGCAGCAGTCGTCCAATGACATTCGTCTACACTGCTGCTGATGCTGAAAATTCAGGATACTACTTTGGAATTTCAAGATACATACGTTGAAATTTCAAGCTAAAATCTTAAAATTTCAACTTATTATCTTGAAATTTCCTGATCATTTTCTTGAAATTTCAACTTAGTATGTATCTTGAAATTTTAACTTAGTATCTTGAAATTTCAACACAGCATCTTGAAATTTTAACTTGGTATCTTGAAATTTCAAGAAAAAAACAAATGGCCCTAAAAGACTTCCGTAACTACAGGTCGGGTGGTCTAAAAAGTAGAAATAGTTGAATGTGGGAGGAGAGCCTGCAACACAGCTGTGGCTTTATACAAGGCAATCCTGACAAATGAGGCAGGAACACTTGTGCATCAATGCATCCTAGCAATTTCAGGATCAACAACAAACTTTATTTTGACTCCCATCTTTAATATATGTCAACTTCAGTTGGTCCTTGTTTAGAAAATAGTTTTGGGGTGCAATATGCTCTCAGCTTATTGTTTGGATAAAAAAAATAGCAATTTCTGAAAAAAATGTTTTTGGCAGACTGTAAAGCAAGTTAACTAAGAGTATGGCCTAATATAAGAAAACAAATTGGTTTGGCATGCACCACATGCAGACAGGCCAGGGTAGTTTGGTGCTGATAAATGTGTGTTTGGTCAAAAACAAAGTCACATGTCAGTTAGCCTTTGCCTTAGACTGTAACGAAGAACAAGTTAAGCATAGTGTACCCTTGTGGTATTTCAGAGTTCGAATTGGGCCCCATCAACCTTGCTTATCATACAAGATGATTTAATGGCTGGGTGGTCAGGCTCTATGACGTGTTTGATTGCATATCACCTTACCCCAGCAATGTGGATTGTTGCTTATTATATCAATCACTGGTTTGCCTGGTCCAGATTTGATTATTTACAGGCCATAGTCATACCTGGAATATTGACTGTGGAATATTGACTGCATTAGCAACAACAACAGTATATATACAACTCATATTGTGCAGAATTGGAATTTAAGTTAGCTGTCAAAATATTTTGGTTAGAAAGTAGGGCTGGGACGGGTAACTCAGGTACTCGGGCCGGGTGGGTCCTGAGTAGGACCCAGGTACCCACAGGACTACCCGAACCTGTGGTTAGTCATGTGAAATGCTGTTTAATGACAAAAATTCACAAGTCACTAATGTTCGCATTTCTATGTGACTATGCACGCATTCCTCCTGACTTTATATGTTTGATTAAAGATAAAGTTTCCGTCAACTTCAGTGTATGCCTGACCTGATGTTTCTTTATGTGTATCTAAGTGCATTTTGCCAGGGCTCTGGTCAAACTATTCCCAATTGGACATTTTGTACCCATCTCTTGAGACCTAGAATGGGTTATAGGGGGTTGGGTACACGGGTAGTAAATTTTGACTTGTCCCAGCCTTATTAGTATCCAATTTTGGTATTTAAGATTAGTTTTTGCTGAATATTTCAAGGGAAAGAGAAGAGTGTTTAGTCATGTGCTTCAAGCATCCCACTACAATGAAGTAGAATATGAGGACTTTTGAACTTTAGCCTTTGTGAAACAAGATGTCAACTGACACGTGAAGGACTTTGTTTCACTACATTTATACCTCCGTGCACCCTGAATGTGGCACAACCAAGAGTTATCAACGACACTCAGGGTGCAATTAGGAAAGAAGTGTATCTTACCCAGGATGCTGGAGGATATGATGAACTTCAAGACATGAAGTGTCTCCGTTTAGTGAGAAGTTTGTGATAAGGTCCTTCACTGGCCTACTAAACTTAACAAGTTTTGTCAGGGTAAGCGATAGATTAGTTGTGCCAAATTTATCACATATCTTAATGTTCCTGTCAACTATTCTTTTTTACTTAATGATATTAGATTATATTTTTTTGACAATATTAATTACCCATGTATCGATAAAATGTATGAAAAAAGCTTACTTTCAATCATTGGGTCAATAAGTATACAAACAGCATGTCTAAAATTGTAACCAAACTTAGAGAAAAACAAATGCTTCCTAAGTCCTCATTGGGTCTAATATATCACCAACAATAAAAGTTTATGTTTACAAACACAGCTAGGAAGTATTTCAGAAATGATGTTGAAATAATGTTGAAGTAAGCTTGTCGTAGAATTTCTGCAAAATTCTTTCCAAGAAACAAGTGTTTGTGTTTTCTTTTGACATCGTAGAATGGAGATAAACATACGTGACCCACCAGGAGAAAAGAGACTTTATGAGGGCCAGGATACAATTGTGTCATAAAGACGTTTGACGTCAACGTACATTAATGAAGATTGCCATGTGTCATGTCATGTATTTCTGTAATAAATATGAATTTAAGCTTGTGAATTGTATTTTTGTGTTCCGAAAATGCTTTTAAGATATAATGAAAAGTCAAAATGTGATTTTTCACCTACGAGGTCCCTTATCTCATAGTTGGTCACGTATTGTGTTTTCAGTGTGAAGCTAGATTACCTGAAGATTTAACCACACGAACTTGAAATCAAACCTGAGCTCTGTATGTGTGTGTCCATATACCATGACGTAAAAAACATGAATTCTTTGGTGTGTGCCAAGATATTGAGTGAAGCAGCATGGATTCAGTCCAAATGTGTGAGTGGGCTGTCAATCTGAATTTAATAAGCACCGATTATGGCCTTTAAATGAAGTACGGTGCTTCATACGATGGAACATTGTTTTTGTATGTCTCTGTACCTTTATACTCGCATATATTACAGGCATTGAAAGTGTTACCCAAACAAATCAGGACGTTGACCATGTTTATGTCTATTCTTGTCATGCCAGCGGCATTAGTTTTATTGCCTTTTGTTTACCTGACAAAATGATTTCGTTTTACATAAGGCCAATGTTTAGAATGTCATGTTATATCAGCATGTTGAGGGAACAGGGAAAGATTTATAGAAAACGATATGTTTGTTATTAGTTATAGGTTGCTAGCTGTCTTCTTGTCAATCAAAAACTCTAAAAATCTAATAAAAAGCATGAATGGTTGGTTTTATCAATATACAAGAAAAGGGGACAACCTCAGTGGTCTCATGGTAGAGCGTCCAGGGTTCAATCCCCAGCCTTGTAATGCCAAAAGATGTTAAAAGATGGTACTTGTTGTTACCCTGCATGGCATCGGCATTAAGGGGCTAAAACAAGAACTGGTCGGCTTGGAGTCAGTATACTGTGTCTGAGTGTGGTATTCATGTTAAACTGCGGCATGGTATCCAAGTGGGCTAGAACTATAAAATCGGCATCATACTGAACTAGTACAAGCAGCTCCTCATTCCCCCGAACACCTCCCATCCCAGGAACCTATGCTAACCTGGAATCCCTGGAGTTGAATATTAGTTAAGTATGTCAAGTAGACATATTTTCCATGCCACACAATTTTATACCTTGGACAGGGATGCTTTGTCAGGCAGGTAATGGAAGACGTCGGGCTTCTGTAAATGATAATGCCCTGAAAAATAGCCTTACCCTTATATGAACCAGAAGTTGTATCCATCAAGTTGTATGTTTTCTTATTTACTCACCAAATTCTAGAATGCAAATCAAACAATTTGTTAGCCTGTTATCTCTCTCACCCTGTAGCTGAAGGAATTAATAATATTTAACTGCAATGTCACTCAATCTCTGTTACAGATCAGGCAGTTACAACTAAAAGAAGAAATGGAGAAAAGTCGGGTTTTACAAGAAGCACTGCATGCTCTTGCCACAGAACATCATGAGTTGGAGAAATCTATAAGTAGTCACAAGTCATCAATACGGTATTACGACACTGATGATGATGAGTTCTATGATTGTAGTGATGATGGGGATGAAGTCTTTGGTAAGTTAAAATAATAACAAAAACATCATTTCTATTAATCATATGTTGTGCACGTCCGGGCTAGAAAATCCTTTAAGAAAGAATCAAATAAACTATTGTATTATTGCTCATTCTTGACCTATTAGTGCATTGATTAAGGGGAGATAATTTTTGTTCACATTCTGATAATTATCTCCCCTTGACTACATGCAAACTCCCAGAAGTATAGTGGAATCAATGTTTCTTTGTTTTATGTTATGTTTTGACATTTATGCATTTAAAATATTCATCCTTTTGTAATTAGTCATAATACTGAAGGATAAATCAATAAAAGTAATAAATACTAAAAGAAACAATCTGTTGCCCTTTCTTTTCCAGGGTCCCCAAGATATGAGTCTTTTGCCGAGTCTTTCACAGATGCCTTATCTCAGGACTTTGATGTGAGTTCTACAAATGGGAAAACAAGTACAGCAATCAAACCGTGGGCAAGGTATTTGAAACATTGATATTCTCGATAAGCAGACTCTTGTGAGTCAGTGTCTGTCTCTCTCCCTGTCTCGTAGCCATGAAGATTCTACTGTCAGGATTACAGTTATTATCAAGACAAGAGGACTGTACCGAGATCAAGCAGTCTGCACATGAACAATTCTCAGAATGTTGTGGTGTATGCACATCCAGCACATGAAATACTGCACCAGTTTCAACTACCTTTAGTCAGTGATAACAAAACTGAGTGAACTTTGACCGCCCTATCTAAATGAAGGTTGCATGGTATCTTGAGCCAATTAGCTGTCACCTTTCTAAAACTCTCTGGCTGCATTTTTGTTTGCCTTGTTTGAGAAATATTTTTGAACAACAGAACACTAATATTTCTTCGGTGGTATTCTTTTCTGGGTGTTGAAGCTATGGAGCTCAGAAACGACAGGATTAGGGCTGGGACGAGTCCACAGCCCACAGCCCTATTACCCGACCCTACCCGCGTACCTACTGTTGGTGTCAAGAGATAGGTACAAAATGTCCGATTGGGAATAGTTTGACAGTAGCCCTGGCAGAATGTTTTAGATACATGTATAAAACGATGTGATCATGCATAAACTGAAGTTGACTGAAGTTTTAGCTTTGTTCAAACATATTTAAGTCAGGAGGAACGTGTTCAAAGTCATGAAGAAATGCAAACATTAGAGATTTAAAATTGTCGTGTAACCATGTAGTTATAATTATAGTGATTTTTTGTCATGAAACAATATATCACGTGACTAACCACGGGTCCGGGTAGTCCTGTGGGTGCCCGGGTCCTACTCAGTACCCACCCGACCCGGGTACCTAATTTACCCGTCCCAGCCCTAGACAGGATGTATGAATCTCTACAACAATATACTGATGCTGCTATACTTTCTACATTAGGTCATCTCAGTTCATTTTTCAAGTAGACATTCTTCGCATTTCAACATTCTTCAGTAAAGATCCTTTGTGGACTGTTATGTTATCCATACAAAATTGTTTGTCTATTTTGTCATCCGTCAAACAGTTTTTTTCGTTTTTCGAGATACAGAAGTGAGATTTGAAGGTTTAAATGCTTTGATCACTTGTACTGAGAATTGGGAGCCTTCACGCTTCCTGGCTGAAAAGAGAGTTCACCTGACACGACCTCTTATTGAGGTGACCTTAGATCTTTACAAGATGGCACTTGTTACCCAACTGGTGCTTGGCAATAAGGGTATAAAACAAGGACTGGTCTGCTCGAAAGCAATGTAATTTTAAACCATGTTAAACTGATGTATATGAGTGGGCTAGTGCTATAAAACCAGTATTAGTCCAGACTTAAGTACATATCGCATGCATGCACGTCACAATGTAAGTGCAATAACCTTAAGTGCAACATTCAGCCTCATCTGCCCATATATATGTATGATAAATGCTGTGATCATGGATACAAGATCAGATTTGCACTGGTAATTACCACAGAGTGTTTTCTTTGCCAATACCTGCACCTGGGAATATATTTTGATATTAGACAGTTTAAGAATATTAAAACCCTAATGTTTCACCCCTGATTACACATATTATCGTGGTGTTAAAAAGGTGTAGATTTCTCAATGCATGTTTCAAACGTTTTATATTTAATGTTAATAATGCCAGAATAGCTCTCTTTGTCATCACTTGTCTTGGGATATAAAATCGCTGTCCGGCCATCACATTAAGTCAGGACTATAACCCTTTAGACTTTTTGGGACTTTTATTGTTTACCAAGTGGTGTTGAGATTGCTTCAGGGCAATTATTATTTAGGTTTTTGTTACTTCTTGTTCTTACAATGAAACATCTTGTTCCTACAATGAAACTTCTTGTGCTTACAATGAAACTTCTTGTGCTTACAATGAAAGCTCTTGTTACAATGAAACCTCCTGTGCTTACAATGAAACGTCTTGTAGTTACAATGAAACATCTTGTGCTTACAATGAAAGCTCATGTGCTTACAATGAAACTTCTTGTGCTTACAAAGAAAGCTCTTGTTACAATGAAACCTCCTGTGCTTACAATGAAACGTCTTGTAGTTACAATGAAACATCTTGTGCTTACAATGAAAGCTCATGTGCTTTCATTGAAACCTCTTGTGCTTACAATGAAACCTCCTGTGCTTACAATGAAACGTCTTGTAGTTACAATGAAACATCTTGTGCTTACAATGAAAGCTCATGTGCTTACAATGAAACCTCTTGTGCTTACAATGAAACTTCTTGTGCTTACAATGAAACGTCTTGTAGTTACAATGAAACATCTTGTGCTTACAATGAAAGCTCATGTGCTTACAATGAAACATCTTGTGCTCACAATGAAACGTCTTGTCATGCTAGTAGATCTCAACGATACACAGGCCTCAGGGGGGAAGATGAAGTTTGTCTGAATAATTATGTATGCAGGAATTTGGAAATCAGATTTCAAATTTGGGCACTTCTGCGAAACATTTTTGTTGTGATCATACTGACTTTTGAGGAACACTATGTCCCTATGTGCCTGTATGATTGTGTTCAACCCATTGACCACTGGTTTGTGGTTTTTCTTGCCTCAATCCCACAAAATAATCCCTCAGTATGACTAGTGTTAGTCTGTCGTCTTACAACAGTTATAGTATGAAGATCCCTTTGCAAACAAGTCCTCATACAGTCTTATCTATAGACAGCGATGGTAAATGTGTAATATTTTGCCTGACAAACACCATATAGTCACACATCTAATTATTATTTTCCTGGCATAGGTACAATGTGAGAAGCCCATTTCTGGTGTCCCCTGCTATGATATTGCTGGAATATTGCTAAAAGCGGAGTAAAACGTCACTCACTCACTCTAATTATTATCAATGGTCTGGCTGTTGCAGTGTTAACATTAACCCTAGCTTAACAGCTAGTGTTGCCAAGTATTAGACCGTAGTTGCCTGTTCAAGTTGGGGGGGAGGATGCTTGAACTATTGCTATTTGTTGCTATTATTCTTCTCACCCACATTCTTTCTGAATATCATTGCCTTGGTGATTATGGCTTATGACAATACCAATACACAAGATTTGCCTCATAACATTAAACTCAATAATCATACCAGTAATATTTTTCAAATGTTTATATTGTTTTATTATATCTTTATTCTTTGTTATTTTGTGTTAAGAGCCTTCTCAACAAAAATATTATCATTGTTATAAGCTTTGTTTTGTTTATTTATTGTTTTTTATGAATTTTGCATAATTTGTAATGTATTAAATTATCAAATATACCCCGGTATTTCAGACAGTGTTCAGTAACTGCCAAATTTTAACTATTTACTGAGTTGGAAAAAACACATTTAGCGGTCTTATTCATGTTACATTATTATGAGATAAAGTTCAAATATTGAGAATTCCACACTTTCGGTTATGAAATATTTCTCTTTATCCAGTATTTGATCCAACCTTTGAAACAACTGACAGTTTAACTTGACACTGAGATGAACTTCCATGTGCCACATGTATTGCCAAAATGTAAAACATTGCTTGTGAAATAAACGCCAAAGGAATTCAAACAGATGTATCTTTTCAGTCATTTCTTTACAAACTTGAGAAAGTGGAGAAAAACAAATTTTTGGATTATACACTGTCTGTGGCTGTCTAAAGAAGCCCTTTACTTAAAGTGGTAAAACGTGGTCAACTAGTCATTAGGGACCGACCATGTAATATTCTGGGGGAGGCATGGGAATTTATATTGAGATTACATTTGTTTTCAGCTGCAGGTACAAAACTAGATATGTCTTTTATGTAAGACTATGTGCCTGAATTCTTTTTAGAGAAAAAACCAATCTGATTTTACAACAGCCTGAAGCATAATTTTTATTTGAAAGAATTTTTATTTTTTTCCTATATGATCCCAGCATCCAGCCCCCTCTCCCCCCCCCCCCCCCCCCCCCCCCCCCCCCCCGATTTTGATCTGCTAAAATAATCAGACTTCAAATGAGTGACTTTTGAAAACAAGTAATTGGGTCATAAAAAGTCTTTCATTGTTAACATCTTCATCTTTACCCATGAAACAACAGAATTAAGACTTGGCATTTCATCAACACATGAAAGGATTACAAACAAACTTTTCATCTGAGGGGTCGGACAAATTTACTGGTCCACAAGACCAATGAAGTTGACAGAAGCTAGTCTTTATTCAAACATATAAACGTCACAAGGAATGTGTGCATAGTCAGAAAGAAATGGGAAGATTAGCCACTTGTAGTGTCACTATGAAGTGTTAACGTTATTTTCACGTGACTAACCACGGTGTGACTGATCAGGGGGGTTCACATATCTGGACATGATGTCACAGTTTGCATAGTCCAAATAATCACAGAACAGGATATCTTTGCTCAACAATAATGCTATCAATTTATTTACATGTTACATTATCAAACGCTCAAGTTAGCAAGTATATATATATTAATAAAGATATATACTATATTACTTAATAAATATACAATGTAGTATCTAAAACAGCGCCAAAGATTAAAGTTTGTGGCAGCGTGTTAAGACAATATCAAGTGACTGCCTGCTTTCATCACTCATCTCAATCAAACTGATCTAACCGTACAACCAGCTGATTATCCCTAACAGTAAACAAAGCGTGACGTCACAGCTGGTCATTGAACAAATATTTACTTTGATATTATATTATAACACAAAGCATATAACTAATATAATAAATTAAGAAACTGACTGAAGTAAAGGAACTTAAAATACGTCACTTTATGCAATAATTGTAATGTAACCGTGGGAACACAAATATCGATGACATCATGATCACAAAATGGCGCAGCCCAGTAACCTGGCATGTCGTCTGCACCGTCCGTCATCGAAATACAAACTTACGGTAATTTACGGCAAATAAACATAATTAAGTTATTACTCACGTAAACACAAATGTTATACACAAATTAACTTGGAATAGTGCCTATAACTGAAGATAAACAATGAACGAAAACAGGACAA